CTAATTCTATGGTGAGTCGAACCTGTATCAGGGAAGCATGAGGTCAGGAGCCCCCTGTGGTCACAGCCGAGCAGCCGGGGCCGTTGGCAGTGTCACGACTCCCCAGAGCTGACCCCAACTGTGACTGTTAGAGCCGTTTAGTTGTGTCCTGGCGGTCTGTGCTCTCTTTAGAGCAGGGTGGTGATACTGTAACCTTCCTTTTCTGCACAGGTGGGCCCTGCATCACTCTGTTTACCTTATGAAGGGGCTCCTTAGCAGGTGTCTTTGTGCAGCCATCCCCAAGGACGCAGCATGATGGATGAAAAATAACACACAGATTTGCAGAGCTGTCATGAGCATGTCGTTCATATGCTGAGTTCTTTGTAAAGACAGCAAACAATAAAAAAGAAAAATTTTCCAAAGGATTCTTACCTGGGTAAACCTCACATCAGAACCCCCTGCCGTTTTTAGGTTCAGCGAGGATTTTGCCTGAGTAGAGACTCCGGGGGCAGTCTCAGTACACGAACGGCTTTTCAGCGAGAAGGTGACTTGTCTCTGTGATCTGATGCAAGCTCCTCTTTATTAAGGAACATCTCCGTGGGTCCTGAGTGACCATGTACCGGCCGACATCTTTGTTAATTTTTGCTACCAGTAGGAGAAATCCTGTTTGCAAGGGGACGTTCATCGGTGGCATTTTTTGAGGACTTCTTTACGTCACTGAAAAGGAACTTACTCTTTTGTCCGATAGCATGAGAAACCCCAGGACACGTCCAGAAAAGTTAAGCATTGAGATACGGGGTAAGAAAGAGAAGAACGTCTCAGAGAGCCGAAATACTGGGCACTGCATTTTGACTAAGGTGGTGGAGTGACTTAGGAGCTGTTTAAGTCGGTCCCGAGGCGCTTGGCAGGCCCCAGGCCTCTGGCACTAATGTTAATAACCCCGTGCACCACGGCCCCAACTTGTTTTGAGACAGCACAAAACTTTCAGTCAACCTGAATGAAAAATACTCCCCGAAAAGTGACTGCGTTTATTTGATACATGCGAGAAGATCATCAAATTTAGTACCACTGTGTACATTCCCAGCTCGCTGGCTGGAGGGCACTTAGAAGTTGAGGGTCAAAGCCACAGAGAACTTGGGTGTTAGGGCTCGTTCAGTCAGTAACCTTTACCGTGTCCCGTGTGTGTTTGTTAAAAAAATAAAACCGAAAGCCTTTGTACAGACTCATTGCGGGCAGTCCCTGTAGGGGGCTGTGTACCCTGGGGCCGCCCTTGGTGATGTGCGAAGTGGCACCGTGACTTCTCACCTGGGGCCCATGTTTCTCCAGGAATTAAGTCACTTTTAGAACTCGGGTAACATTCTCTCCACACTGCCCGCTGGCAGCGCTGGTGTTTGGGGAACTTCAGTGTACTGGGTGCCATGCCACCCGTCTGGGCAGGTCAGTGGAGAAGGAGGTCGAGAGGCTGATCCTTTCAACGGGAGAAGGTGCTAAGCCAAAGGTTAGACAAAAGAGATGGGGCTGTTGGCCCTGCCCTGCCTGCTGTAACTGAAGCAACAGGAGAGGCCAGGTCAGAACTGACTCTCCTCCAGCTTTCTCCTTTACAGATGGTAAGTGTTCGCCTCTCCACCGTACGTTCTGCCGAGAAAGAGGCCAGGGTTTGGGGAAACTAGCTGGTGGGGACATTCATGAACTGCCCAGCACAACCAAGGGCCGCAGCCTCCTGCCGCCTTTGGTCCTGCCCGAGGCAGAGTGGGCAGAGGTAACAAAACCCCGTCAGAAAGGGCCTTGCCAAGCCGCCGTGTTCAGTCCACGCTTGCGGCAGCCCCGGCGGGGCTCTGCAGTGATTGTCTTCTGAGACGCCTCCTGGGGATAACTGAGGAGGTCTGCTTTCTAGGGAGGGTTTCGAACACCCCTCCGCTCCTGTGCGAGGCAGTACAAGAGCCGCCACCCACACGAGAGCTTTTCCACGGTGCTCTTTATTGCCCACGGACGCACACTGACAGTCACGTGCCATCGGACCACTCAGAGAACGGCTGTTTCTCTCCGCCCTCGACCTGTGGTTACCCTGCACCAGTAAAGAGCCTTCCCCACACACGGAACAAGGTGTACTTGATAGAAAACTGCTAATTCAGTCACCAGCCCGTGCTTTTAAATTGTGTCTACGAGTGCAAAACCGCAACACCCAAAGGGTTTTAGTCGAATATCAGAGGGTTTGCTGCATGATCAGAGATGCACACAGCAGTGTTCTGAAGATGAAGGCGCATTTTCTGATGAGCAGTGGTAACCGGGAGGAGTGCAGCATTGCCTAGGCAGGCGTGGCCGCCCTGCTCCTGGGCCCAGTGATGGCCATGGCGACCCACGGGGCCTCTGCACCCAGCTGCCCTGGCAGGGCCGCGTGTGCCCGGCGTGGCACCGGGGCTCGCAGCTGGACGCCGTGCCATCTACCTAGCCAGTTCCCTTCACCCACTGTGTCGTCAGACCTCCCAGACGTTGGCCAAATAACGGAGGCTTTATTATTTTTCGTAGAACAGAGATGAGAAAACTTGAAACTGGGTTTTGTACCTCCACTCCTCAGCGATGTCCCCATGCCCGTAATGTCCCAATACCAACGCAGAATGTGGTAAATCGCCAGTAAACCCAGACAGAGACCTTTACAGTAATTCTTTTCTATTTCACAAAAGTTAATGGAAAATAAAACACGAATTTTTCAAATATTTATCAATGTGTATAATTTGCCATCCAAATGCTTTTTTAAAAGTAATAAATGCCTCATCATTACGCGTTAAATTTACACAACGTCCTCTCCTAATCCATGGATTTAAACATCAAATTTTAATGCTTATTTAATTCTGGATACAAAGAAACATTCACGTACTTAATTTTACAATATTTATTCTGGAACAAGTGATATTCAAAAGTCAAATGAACAAAGAACATTCCCACTTGCAACCAACACACGGTTGTTATTTTAAAAAGTTAACTCAGTGTTCAAAGATGAATTTGCTCATTGATTTCTGCTTTAACTGTCGCTTGATTCAGTGGTTAGAAACTTCGGTTGCGGTAAAAATGTCCCAGACGAGTGTGAATTAATTTCCTCAAACACCCGGGGCCACAGCACGTGTCACCATGTACATACTTTTCCACCCAGAGCATTTCAAACCACAAAGTAGAAACTGACTTGAATGAGACTTGGTTTCTGGCGCTTTCTGCACCGAAAACGGCCCTTCCAGCCCTGGGGAGGGAGCCCTGTGTGCCTGGGCCCACAGAGCCGTTGTCCTGGCACCCGTGAACGCGGGAGGGCCTCTGACCCCAGGCCGGCAGAGCCCTTGCACGCTCCCCGGGAACCAGCCCAGCGCCCACCTCACGTGAACGCACGTTAAGTGAGGCCAAGAGAAGGCGGGTTAGAAAAGCGCCCAGCAGTGCCGCGTCCGGGGCTGCAGCGGGAAGACAAGGCGTGGTCCCCAGGCATGCCTGGCGGGCGGCCTCCTGCGACACCTGCCCCGGCCTGTCTTTGCACACTGCTGGGTGAACACGGGACGTAGGTCTCAACTTGCTTGCCCTGCCGTCCCGTCCTCTCCTTTCCTGTCTTCCCCTACTGTCTTCTCTTCCCTTATGTCCCTTTGTCACTTCCCACAGTGGCCCCGTGGTGACCCCCTTATCCTGTTCCTGCCGCATCCAGGGCCCTCCTCCCTGTGCCTGTGGACGCCAGGACGTATCAGTCCCCAAACTCACCATTTGTACAGCTTCCTGATTGTCATTGTTAGTTAAAGTACCAGAACCCAGGGAGGAATCCGGAGCTGCAAGTCGCCCAGCCAGCCTGCACGGGCACACACACACAGAGACGCACAGTCGTTGTGATCAGTGTGGGTGTCGGCGTGCGGTGTGCGTACACGCACGGAGAAGCACATTCGTCATGATCAGCAGGGGGTGTGTGTGTGTGTGTGTAACATACATACACATATGCAATTGATACTCACAAGGCCTGGTATAAAGTTGCAATTTTTCTAGCTGCTAGAAAACGTGCCAGTTTTAAAACTGTGCATTTGTTGCTTGCAAACTTATAAATATGTATAAACCCCTTATAAATAAACCGTGGCCGGCAGATGGCACTTTTATCTGCCAGCAATGAGTGCATGGAGTTATAAATGCTTAGTAATCCTCCACTTTGAAGCTCACAGCGTGGACCCTGGCGTCTGTGACATGAAAACGTAACCATAAATCAGAGGGGAAAATCATCAGTGAGAGACAGGTGAGGACTAGCTGTTCACACCTGGTGGTGGCTCTCAAAGTCCAGACCACCTACGGCCACCACCCTCTGTTAGAAATGCAGATTCTCCAGCCACATGCAGACCCGCTGAGTCAGGAGCTTTGGGGACGACCCCGATGGCTCTGATGCCTGCCTTTCACCCCAGGTCTGCCTATGAAGGCCTGTCTCTCTGCCCAAGGACTCAGAGCTTGCTGTGCACAGGACCCGCGAGGACGCTGGCCGGCAAGAGCCTTCTACCAGTGCTGCCCTGGGTGAGGAAGTGTCCAGCTCGCTCCCGCCCAGCAGGCTAGCTCCGAAGCGTGTCCAGCCCTGCCTCCCACAGCCCCCAGTGCAGTCAGTTACCCACACCCACTGCCTTGTGTGTCACGCCTTCCTTATCAGCTTCCCTCCCTTCCCCACCCCGAGGTCATCACCCTGAGAACCTGCGTCCACTCACAGCCTCTCAGGATCTGCTTCTGCGGAACCCCAAACTCAACAAAGGGATAGAAACACTTCCTCGTTCGTGTGAACGACTCACGCCTTTATGCATTTTGGGAAAAAAGACGGAGCATAAATGCAACCCAAGGAGGGAAGCACCACGTATCATTTTCCATCGGGGGCTGAGCTTTCTATCCAAGCCCTAAAGGACCCTGATAAGTCCTGCGCTCTGTCCTGATTCAGCCACTGACTGCCATCACCTCTGGCAAGTCAATCGGCCCGAATTTCCTCACTGAAGAACGGGTCCCTTCAGCTGTACTCTGCCCAGACGCCCCCTTGCTGTGTCCTCTGGGGAGCAGGGGCAGTTCTGGGTTTACAACATGTGCCAATAAAGGAGGTTTTCCATTTGTCTTTCCCAGCACCAACGGAAAGTCTCACTACAGAACCAGAGGATATTATTCTGAAACCCACGGCCAAGATTTGTCTGTGTCCTGCGGTCTTTCCAGACTCTCCTACCCAGTTCCAGCCAGGCTGCCGCCATCCCCAGGAAGGCATTTTGGGATATGTACTCAGCCAGTAAGAGAGCACAGATGTACATTTTGGTGAGTGAAGCATCTCGGGAGACAGCTGTCCTGCAGGCTTGCACACGGTCACCAGCCCCACACCCTCTCACGACAGGGACCGCACAGCCCTGCCGTGCGGGCGGCGAGCCAGGGCTCAGAGGAGCCCAGCACGCAGCTCGAGGCCACGTGGTTCTGCGCGTGCCAGACCGAGGCTGCTGCCTGGGGAGCAAGGACCCAAAGAAACGCGTGACCGGCCTCCGCGAGGTGACTGGCTCAGAGAATAAGGACCAGGACGCTAGTTCTAAAGTGTTACATATGCAGAGGAGCCACCCCGGCATCACATCGACCTGCACGGAGAGGGCCGTTGCAGGGAGGGGCCGTCTGTAGGACAGCAGGCTGGACTCAGCCAGGGGTCAGGGCCCTTTGGGGGCCGCACAAGTGCTGTTCCATCCGCTCCCCCAGGCCTGCCTCGCCTTCCACCGGGTCTTTCCGCCCGCACACGGCTGGTCACTTTCTGCGCGCTCGGGGCCTGATCCGCGGTCCCCCCTCCATCAGGAGACCCCCAGCTGGGCCTTCATCCATCGACCCCCACACGTAAGACACATGAAGCAGAATCACCGTGCAAGTAGCAGAGCAAGGCCAGGCGGGCTCCCGGTCCCCTGGCCTCTCAGACAGAAGAGGCCCGGGGCGGCGGCTTGCTTGCGCCTAGGGCTTAGCTGGGGAGTTACCTGAATGCAGCCTCTCTGACTGTCCACCTGCTTCCGCTGGGAGCTGCTCGGGTCCCCTCGGTGGTCAGGCCGCAAAGCGGACTGAAACCAGGGACCCGCAGCCCTGCAGGCTCTGAGCAGAGGCGGCTGTCACGGGAGAGCACAGCTCATCCACAGAGGATGGTGCGGGCGGGCAGGGGCAGACCTCCAGGGCCACTTGGACGAAAGGGCCAGTACAGGACCTCTGGGCCTGCCTTGCTCTCCCAGCAGACACAGGGGCCTGGGGCAAGCGGAAGGGGGGCCTCGAGAGGGGCCGCAGGTCCCAGCGCACTCCGCGGGGTCAGGTGGCCGGCCGGGCACACAGTGACCAGCCCTGGGGGGCCTGCCCACGACCGGGCGGCTCTGAGCCAGGCGGGGGCAGCACCTGCACCTCAGTCCCCCCGCCTGAGGGCGAGGCCGCGTGCTGCCCAGCACAGGGCACCTGAAGGAGGGGATGCGATGGCCCCAGCGAGCAGTCACATGCTTTACGAACGGCAGGAAACCAGGACTCAGAAACTTCTGCCACCTGCTGCACCTCACATCTGCTCCGAAGGCCACAAAGGAGGGCAAGGTTGTCCCACTGGCACTGTTCCAGGGGACGCAATCTTGTAATCTGAGTTTAAAAATATGTATTTTGAATAAATATTGAAACAAAATCCGATCCCCCAATACTTTTAATTTTCTAAATTGATTCTCATGCAAAAAAAAAAACCAAAACATATATCGCTTATCAGCACTGAGATCAACACCGACTTCAGAGCAGAGAGCTAGTGAAATTGCAGACGACCGTTTCTTACGGCCCCAAGAGAAAAAAGCAGATCAAACGTTGAAAGGCTCTTGGTTCTTAACTCTTGTTTCCTACTTTGCTTTGCCCTTTACGCGAGCATCTTGGCCTCACGCAGTGGGCGTACAAGACTGTTGAACGAAGTCCTTTTATCCACCTGTGTATGTGTGTACAGCTGCACACAGAGAAGGATCATGCATCCCCAGGGAGGTCAGACGCTTATGTACATCTGCAGGGCTGCAGGGCTGGAGGCCTCCAAGAGACAGCGTGCCGGGCAGCTCTCATGTCCCCAAGTCTGTGTCACCACAGGGCAGGAGCCCGACCCAGCTGCTGCCCTGCGCCCTTGTTCAGTCCCCACCGCTTCTGGATGACTTGGAGCAGAATATCTGTGTGCACCTGACCCCAGGAGCACACCAGGAAGGGGCAGCGTGGGCTACGTAACTGTCAGACCTGCCTGGTCACTGGAGAACATCCTAGAAGACTGAAGTCACAGCCGACTGGATTCCTGGGGCCCTCAAGGGGGAGGAACTCCACGGAAGGCCAAGACGAGGCCCTGGCCCTGCCCCGACCCATCCTCACTCAACAGCTCTGCCCCGTCCTCCGTCCCGGCCACACACACCCTAAAAGTGGATGCGGGGTTCACAAGCCCAGCATTCTAACTTGGAGGAAGTTTTTTTTTTGCTCACCAGAGTTTTAAAAATCTACCCTTAACTCCTCATCCTAGAAGCATCGGATGTCCTGCCACCCAGCGCTAAGCGTGTGGGCAGTGTCTCCATGCTGCGGGAGGAAGGGGAGCCGCACGCAGTGGGATTTCATGGGACAAGCGCCAACGCTGTAGCACCAGCGGGAAGGTGCCAACGAATGAATGAATCGTCCTCTCTTTTAAAAGACATCTGTTAAAGCACATGGTGATGTCAAGCCAGACTTTTTTTTTAAGTTACAAACGTCCTCACACCAAATGAAACAGTAGGAAATCTGAGTATTTTATCTGGAAGGGAGGAGCCGGGACAGGCGCGCACCCTCTCCGTGGAGCAGCTGGGAAACCTGTTGTAGCGACAAACAGTCACTCCACCCACCAACCTCTCCAGAAGCGGGACCTCGAACTGATCCCCAAAACTCCTGCGTCTGGCCCCTCGCTTCCGGCCAAGCTGAATCAGCCACGGCTGCTGGAATGTTCCCAGGTCTGACTCTGAGTGGGTGTCTGTACCTGTCTTCCCGGCACAGCTCCTGCACGTGCTTTGTCCTCTACTGAATATAAGCGGGGCCGGGGGGCAGTTCACTAGCAGGTCCTGCAGCAGCCTGTTAGCTAACAGGATGTACAAGCCCCCAGCTGCCCCTCCACACAGCCTGGTTTTGTCATCATACAGGTAAAAACGAAGGAAGCCTTTACCAGCCAAGATCTTGATCAGTGAGGCTGATTTTATGCCACATTTGGCAGTAAAGTGAATCCCCAAGAACCCCTGGACCACCAGCCAGGGTCATGGGAGACAGCATTCCCGTGCTCAGCGCTGCCTGATACAGCCGGATACTAACGCCTGCTCTTCAGTGCAGCGGCACGAACACCCTGGTCCCGGAAACGCCTTGCATGCAGGTGTGATGCACACCGACTGGGAGGTGTGGCAAGGAGGAGGGACGGCCGTCAGAACCAGCACTTCACAGCCCTTTCCATGCAGAGCTAGGCGCCTTATGCTACGATAATTCCAAGCACTTATCACCGACCCTCCCGCCGCTTCTGTGTTGTGCTTAGTGGGTAACACCTGCCCAGTGGACTTGCCCAGTGGAATGGGTCAGTTGACTAACATTTTTGCCCGGACAACTACAGTCAAACTTTTTTTTCGTTAAAAACAGACAGCACAGAACATTAGTCTTACATCTTTCTGGGTCTTAAAAAATATAAATATAGAGGGACAATTTGTACAGGCTGTATAGGTATGTACACCTTCATATGCACATGAGAATTCAGAACAAGTTTATGAAACTTGAATTTCAGGGAGGCTTTCCTCCTGGGGCGTTTGGAGGAAGCTCAGAGCCAGTGGTCAGCTGCTCGAGCTCCCGTGGCCCGATTACCCATCTACCGAGAACTGAGTCCGCTTGACCCCAGGCGCGGTGTTGGGCAGGGCAGCTGGTGGGTCACGGGTTCCTTCCCACTGGCTGCTGGAGGCAGAGCTCGCTCCCGGCGGAGACGATGGGCAGGCTGTTCTCCAGGTGGTGGGTGATGAGGTGGCTGATGCTGTCAAAGATCCTGTCCTTTGTCCGGATCTGCAAGGGTGCAGGGGGAGGTTAGCATGACCCAGGGGCAGAGGAAAGAGAAAAGAAGTGGACGGGCAGCCTCCTTAGGGACCCGGGGCTCCCCAGCCTTTCAGAGATGGTATCTGTCCAGTCCCAGGTCACTGTCACTGGCCACTCAGTTGTCTGTCCACCCTTCTGGGGCTGAGCCATGACCGCCCCCGTCTTCAGCACCAGGGGCCGTGGTGAGCTCCCCGCCTCCCGCCAGCCTCCTCTCTCCTGCGCCCCTCCTACCCTCATCGGATGCATCCCAGAAAACACTGTACCACCCAGCGGCCTTTGCGCAGTGGTCTCCGGCCCAGGACATGCTTCGTCCACCCAGGAACCCGGCTCAGTCTCCACGTCAGCACCGTCAGGCCGCCTCCCTTCCTCACCACGCTTTCCAGGCCGGCCCCCCGCATCCTGCACTCCTACCAGGAGGGAGCCCACAGCTGTGAGGAAGGCTCCAGGCTCCCCCTGGAGGGCGACCCTGGCTGGGATGCAGGGGCGGCACTGCGCGTCCCTGGTCACCCGGTCTAGAGGCTGGTACGGTGCCTGTCCATGGACCTCTCCTGAACAGATGAAGGCCTGACATGGGCTGGGGGCGAGGGAGGAGCGCTGCCGCTTCCCTGTGCTCGCTGGCCCGTGCCCTGCTCCCGGGGGGCCGCCAGCACCCCTCCCCCCACCCCGAGCCAGTACACTCACGGCACAGGCCACACGTGGAGGAGGCGGTGTGAGGTCTGGCCAGGGGCAGTCTCCCGGTGTGCTCCGGACAGAGCCCCGGGGGCTGCTCCTTTGAGAGGGAGCAGAGGCGGACAGGGAGCAGGCCCCTGGCGACACGCACTCACCCTCCAGGCCGTAGAAGGCCCTCACATTGGGTCTGGGGTTCCTGGGCACCGCATTCTCTCTCCAGCCTTATCCCTGAGAGCCCACCCCTCCCTTGGGGCACCAGCTCTCCCCCGCCCCTCCCTCAGGGACCTGAGGGCAGGTCTGTGACCCTCCCTTACTTGTCCCAATATTCATCTTTCCTCAGGTTCTTAATCTCACCCCCCTCCCCTAATGTGGCTACTCTCGTCCCTCCCTCTCCATCAGCCCACCAACAGGATGCCCATCTCTGAACCTTCAGGCCCAGGTCTCACCCTCTGCCTAACTCTGTGCTCCAGGGATGCACGTCAGAGGCCCCTGCCCAGGACATCGGATGTGGGCTCGGCCAGTGGAGGCCAAAGGCAGCAGCTAGAGCTTTAAAAAGTCAGGACGTTTTCCTCTCCTGGGATCCAACTCTGCTGCAGGACCCCCTCCCCACCCGTTTCTGTAAGCACCAGAGCCAAAGAGGGGCTTCCTGGGCCGTGAGGTCCCCTGACTCTTGGGCATTGAGCCCCAGTAAGGATGTAACCTGATGGGCACATTCAGAAAAAACCTTTTTGCAAAATTTTCTGGCATCTTTCCTTTGAGGTTGTTTAATCCTCCTGGAGCTCCTTAGAGTTCCCCTCCCAGAAGGCCCCCCTGGGTAACACGACAGCCCCCTCCTCGGAAGCTAAGGGCGCCCAGGAGCGCAGCTTGAGCTTAGCATTGTTGGGGCATTGCCTTTACAGTGACCCCTCAGTCCCACTCCTTAATGGTGGACACTCATTTACGTTCTGGGGCACTGGGGGAGGATGGAGAAGGATTACGACCAGGAAGTGCCTGGGACGGTGCTGTAAGCCTGGGCTCACCCTGCAGTCACTGAGGAGCCTTCAGTAACCCCGTGCCCAGGCCGGCTCCATCAGGAACTGGGGTGCGGCCCAGCACTAGTGTGTCTTACGTCCCCTCTGCAATTCCAACATGCTACCCAAGCTGAAGACCACTGGTCAGTGTTTCAGCAGCATGCATGCTGGCCAGTATAAACACACACATGTGAGCAAAGGCGCACAGAAGAGGAAGTCATGTAAAGAAAAAGTCTACTTCACTCCTGCAAATACTGGCTGAAATTCTGGTCTGGCTCCTGCCCAGAGAACCTCACAGAGCTACCTGTGTGGACTCACCTGCCGTGTGCTGGAAATGCCAACGGCTTGATTTCAAAAGCCCAGCAGCCCAGACAGACCTCGGACAGGGATTCAGGGATTCTGCCAGAGCGATGGCACATGGACTGTTAACCCCAGACAGCTATGTGAGGCTCTGCATAGCAAAACTCATGTTAAAATGAGGCTGGAAGGCTTTGTTTGAGTCAGGCTCCAGGAGAGCAGACTAAAATATACATATATTAAGAAGAAAGAGCTGAAATCAACAATCTAAGCTTCCACCTTAGGGATCTAGAAAAGGAAAACCAAGTTCAGAGAAAGTAAAAGGATAATTTAAAAATAAAATAATAAAAATGAGAACAGAAATCAATGAAACTGAAATAGGAAATCAACACAGAAAACCAATGATTCCCAGAGCTAGTTCTTTGAAGAGATAAATGAAATCAATAAGCTTCTAACCAAGCTAAATAAGGAAAAAAGGAAGGAGACATAAATTACTAATACCAGAAATGAAACAAAGGGCCATCATGATAGATCTTATGAGCATTAAAAGGCTAATAAAGGAATATCATAAGTTACCTGAAGCTTTCCCACTGAGACCAGCAGCAAGGCAAGAAGGTCCCACCTCGCTACTCCTTTTCCACATCACAGTGGAAGACCGAGCTAATGCAATAAGCCAGGAAAAGGAAATATAATGTACACTGATTGGGAATGAAGGCATGAAACTGTCTTTGCTCACAGATGATATGATTGTCTATGAAGAAAATCCAAAAAAAATAAAACAGTAAGAGCAACCAAAAAAAAAAAACCTACTTGGAACTTAGTGATTGTAGCAAGGTTGCAAGATAAGAGGTTAATATACGAAAGTCAATTGCTTTTCTATATATAAGCAATGAATAAGCTAAGTTTGTTAAAGACATGATAGTACTTATATTAGCACTCCAAAAGTGAAATACTTAGATATAAATCTAACAAAATATATGCACAATTACATGAGGAAAACTACAAAATTATAATGAAAGAGATTTTTAAAAACTAAATAAATGAAGAGATATTCTGTATTGACATATAGGGAGAGTCAATAATGCCAAGATGTCAGTGCTTCCCAACTTGATCTATAGATTCAGTGCAATCTCAATCAAAATCCCAGCAAGGCATTTTGTGTATATTGATAAACTTATTCTAAAGTTTATATGGAAAGGCAAAGATCAAATATAGCCAACACAATATCGTAGAATAAAGTTGGAGGACTAATAATTCTCAACTTCAAGATTTACTGTAGAGCTGCAGCAATCAAGGCAGAGCAGCACTGGTGAAAGAAGAGACAAGTAGATCAACAGAGCAGAACAGAGAGCCCTGAAACAGACCCACGCAAATACAGGCAACTGATCTGGAACAAGGACGCAAAGGCCGCACAACGGAGGAAAGATCGTCTTTTCAACAAGTCATGCCGGGACAACTGGACATCCACACACAAAATAATAAACCTAGACACAAGCGTTACACGCTTCACAAAAACTGACTCAAA